TCAGCCCCTCAGCCAGACTGGCCAGGCACCCCAGTGGGGACCCCCACCCTGAAGGGTGTGTGACCAGCTGCAAACAGCCATCATCCCCTCACCCAGGCTGGCCAGGCACCCCAGTGGGGACCCCCACCCTGATCCAGGACACCCTTCAGGGCAAACCAGCCGGCCCCCACCCATGCACGAAACCTCTATCCTATATAGTAAAAGGGTAATATGCCTCCCAGCACTAGGATCAGCGGAGCCACGAGGCCTCCTGGCACCGGGATCAGCGTGACAGGGGGCAGCGCCCAAACCCCCTGATCGCCCTGCGGCTCTGTGTGTGACAGAGGGCGGGGCCACAACCTCCCTATCTGCCCTGCTCTGTTCGTGACAAGGGAAGGTGCCCCAACCCCCTGATCAGCCCTGCTCTGTGCCTGATAGGGGAGAGCTCCCCAACCCCCTGATCGCCCTGCGGCTCTGTGTGTGACAGGGTGCGGCGCCCCAACCACCTGATCGGCCCTGCTCTGTGTGTGACAGGGTGCGGCACCCCCACCCCCCACCCCCACGGGCCCTGCTCTGTGTGTGACAGTGGGCAGTGCCCCAGCCCCCTGATCGGCCCTGCTCTGTGCCTGATAGGGGGGAGCTCCCCAACCCCCTGATCGCCCTGCGGCTCTGTGTGTGACAGTGGGCAGCGCCCCAACCCCCTGATCAGCCCTGCTCTGTGCCTGATGGGGGGAGCTCCCCAACCCCCTGATCGGCCCTGCTCTGTGTGTGACAGGGTGCGGCACCCCAACCCCCGCCCCCCCCACCACGGGCCCTGCTCTGTGTGTGACGGGGTAGTGCCATAACCTCCCCATCAGCCATGCCCTGAGTGTGAGTGGCAGCACCCCAACCCCCTGATCGGCCCTACTCTGTGACAGGGGGGAGCTCCCCAACCCCAATTGACCCTGCTCTGTGCGTGACAGGGGGTGGCGCCGCAACCTCCCCATCGACCCTGGCTTGAGTGTGACAGGGGGCGGTGCCCCAACCCCCCAATTGGCCCTACCCTGGGCATGACTGAGGGTGGCATCGCAACTTCCCAATCCGCCCTGCTCTGTGCATGACAGGGGGCGGTGCCCCAACTCCCCAATCGGCCCTGCTCTGAGCCCAACCAGGGGCTGCACCTAGGGATTGGGCCTGCCCTCTGCCACCCGGGAGCAGGCCTAAGCCAGCAGGTCGTTATCTCCCGAGGGGTCCCAGACTTCGAGAGGGCACAGGCCGGGCTGAGGGCCCCCCCCCCCCCCGAGTGCACAAATTTTTGTGCACCGGGCCTCTAGTAAGTTATAATACAGGAACGGGCAAAAGTAGGTTTACAATTATGTGTATGCAAAATATGTTTATTCTTGGGGGTTTTTTTACATAATTATTGTACTATTTATTTATATTACAACTATAAACCTACTTTTCCCCACCCTCTTCTAAAATGTACCTAGAGCAATGGAAGAATTTTTAATAGCTTTTCTTAAAATAAAAGTATTTATGAATCCGGAAACATACTTGTGTTCTGATTCTGGTTCTGTTAGGGTCACCGAAAAAGGAACACACAAGGCCAAAAAGGGTAAAGAATTATTAATTTATTAGGTCATCTGGAAAATCAGATGGGCTGAGCCCCAAAATGACACCAGCACCCAGTGACAGGGAGTCAGAGATTTTAAAGGACTCGAGGGCTTTTTCTGGACAGAGAATTCTCTGGGCGGGTCCTGCAGGGAAAGATAATGGTCTTAGCAAGTGGAATGTGATTTAAGAGAAAGGGTATGTCAGTTATGAATTGGTCTAAAGGTCAGTTCCCGGGGGGGTGGGGGGGGTATCAATTCAATTATTTGGTCAGACCTAACAGGTTCTATCTTCAACAAAAAAGTCTTTAAGCAAGTCATTTAACTGTTATATCTATTTCTTAATCACAAAATGAAGAACTGGACTAGGTGAACTCTGATAGTTACTGTCTGGATTCAAATCGTAGCTGTGCCTGTAAAATGGGAATAACAATAGTTCCTCCATCATAGTTTATTATGAGCTAACTAGAGGCCTGGTGCATGAAATTCATGCACTTGGGGGGGGGGGGTCGGGGTCCCTCAGCCCGCCCTGCACCCTCTTGCAGTCCAGGAGCCCTCTGGGGATGTCCAACTGATGGCTTAGGCCCACTCCCCATTAGTTGGACATCCTTAGCGCTGCCGCAGAGGCGGGAGAGGTTCCTGCCACCACCACTGCGCTCGCCAGCCATGAGCTTGGCTTCTGGCTGAGCCAGTGCTCCCCCTGTGGGATCGCACTGACCACAAGGGAGCAGCTCCTGCATTGAGCGTCTGCTCCCTGGTGGTCAGTGCACATCATAGCGACTGGTTGTTCCACCCTATGGTCGATTTGCGTATTAGCCTTTTATTATATAGGATATGTGTAAAGGGCTTAGAACAAAGTCTTGCACATTGTTAGTTAATAGTAGTATTATCTTTTCAAGCTGGAATCAAATTTTTTGCGATTATGTGTTCCTGGGATATGCAGGGTAGAGGGCATAAAACTGGATGGTTAAGGAGAGCATAAAAATAGGGGATTAAAGTTAAAGCTGGAGAACATACAATTCAATATTGCTACATTTAAAGAAGTTATAAAAATATTGCTTTTACTTACATGAGAAAGCAAAATGGTACTATACTACTCTTCAGGAATTGGTTACATACTGGTATATGAGAACCTTGAGTACATTCATTTCAGAGGAATAGAAAAAAATGTACACATGTGTGTATATATAAGGACACTGAAAATTTCTAACCTTGAATAAACAGTTAATGAGATCTCACATGCAACAGCATTGCAAGTAAGAAGATACTGGCATGGAATGCTTGTCTTTTAAAAGACAAAAAGCATGCTCTCCCACCCTCTTCATTTTACTCCGTATTAAGACAGTACCATCAGCTCCATAAAAGATAAAGGGATATGCTAAAATGAAATGAGGCTATTGTCAAAATGTTGTTTAAAACCACAAGCATGCAACAAAATAAACCATTTGCTCAGTTTTAGAGTCTTATGCTAATTAATCTCTTCCTCCAGCTTCCCCTGCGCTAGTCTAAGAAAAATGGGTCCAAAAAGAAAGATCCATTTCCCCCCGATTAAATTGCTCAACCTTTCCAAAAATGAATAAATTGGAACGGACCTAGAGGACTCCCTTTTTTTCTTTTTCTTTTTTTTAACCGAGAACAAGCAGTATTGTGGCAAGGGCTCTTCTCCCCCCCCATCCCAGGGCTTCTAGGCAGCACCACCTGCTGGTCCTGTGCGTGTCTTACTGCCTCGGCCCCAAAGCTCCCTCCGCGGGACCTGCACTCCTCCCGAGCCTTCTGCACCCAATTGCAGCGAAAGCAAAATAAAAGGCAGCGAGAAGGCCCCAGGACGTGAAATCGCAGCCCCGCCAAGGCAGGAGAAGGCGGAGAGCCAGCCGCGCGCTTTCAGGGACCCGGGACCTAGGGCGGGAGGGGAGGGCGGCGCTGCTTCCGGCGCGCAAGCCCCGCCCCCCGCGACGCGACGGGCGGTCACATGACTGCCGCGCGCGCTCCCGGCCGCTGCGGGCTCCGCTCGGGCCGAAGAGAAAAGACGGCGAGGTGGCCGCGGCCGTGGCCGGAGAGGTGGGAGTCGGGGCCAAGTCCTCGCGGGGGGCGGGAGGGGAGCCAGCCACCGCGGGGTCCTCGCCTGGGAGAGGAGGCCGGGCTGCGGCGTCCCCTCCGGCCGCGACACGCTCGGGGCCGGCCCTGCGCTGCGGGCCTGGGAGGGCCGGCGGCGGGGTCAGGGGCCGGTGCGTAGCGGGGGACGCCCTTGGGCCGCGGCGGCCGCCCTGTCCACCGCGAGGTGGGGTCGCTGGGCCCATCAGCCCCGGGGCCGCCCCCGCCGCGGCTGCTGTCGCAGGCGAGCAGACTGTGGCGGGCGCTGCGTGGCCGGCCCCCGCCGCGGCCCCTGTCCCGGCGACGGCCCGCAGCCGGCCGCGGTCGGGGTGCGAGAGGCGGAGCCGCGGCCATTACTGCGCAGCCTCTTCCGCCGGGGTCCTCGTCGCTGCCTTCCGCGGCCGCCGGGTCCCTCTCCCCTCCCCTCGGCGGGGGTGGCAGGCCCCCACCACCCGGGGTCCTTCCGACCGCGGGACTTCGGGGCGGCGGTGGCTTGGGGGGTAGCCCGCTCCCGGTTTCCCGTGCGGAGGCCTCTCCCCGGGGCTGGGGGTCAGGTCGCACCCGGGGTGGACGGTCCCTGCATTCTGTCCTTTGCTGGGGTGTCTCTGGCCGCTGCTTTCTCTCGCTTCCCTGCCGGGGGTCCCCCTCCCCGCTCGGTGTCTGGGTCTTGCCTACCGCGGAGAGGAGTCCCCCCGCCTGATCCCATGTAAACCCAGCGCTGCATCTGCCAAGCGGTTTTGATGATGATCGCAGCATCGGGACCAGGAGGACGTCTCTCAGCACCGGTGGAGCCTCCAAAAACCCTCAGTGCATCGTAAAAGCGGAGGCTGTGGCTTTGTTCTCCCGGGTGCCGGGTGCGGAGCGCCCCCCACCCCCCAGCCCGCCCGGAAAAGTGCGGGCCCCCCATTGTTGTCGCTGTTTATCTTCCAGAGGTGCCTGCGGATGGGCTGCAACATTGCTTTAAGTTTGCACACACATTCTGGCCACTGGATCCGCCTCCCTCCCCCCTCGGTATCCGTTTCCGTATATGTTTTTCTTTTCCCTAGCTGGCATTTTAGTGAGCATTATTGAGCAAGTTTTCAGAAGCCCGTACGTTTTGTTTACGTAATGTTTTTGTAATACTGGCCCTGGAATTGAGGGGAGAAGAAAGCCAAGAAGTGTTAGAAAACTGTGTGTCTCTCTGAGTGATGGACATTTCAGTTGCCCTCCCCCCACCCCACCCCCAATCCCGATGTGTTTACTTTTTTAAACAGGATGCGAAAGTATATACTGGCATTGAAAAGTAGAATATCATTACAGAATTTGGAAGACTTAAGACTCTTTTTAAAAGTGAGTCTATATTTAGATATTTTTTTTTAGAGACGTGGTATGTAGGACACATGAAGAAAACGACCCGCACAAATAGGGTTCATGATGCTGGTTTTGGTGTTTTTTTATGACCAGCAAATGTTTGTGATGAGTACCCGGGTGTTCTAAAAACACATGGAAATAGGTCAAGTAAATCTCATTCTAAAGAGGGAGAGTGAACGTCACTCTAGAAACAGGTTTTGGATGTGTTTGTTTTAGCCTTGTAGATCTGAAATTGGAGCATTTTGTTAAGCCCAATCTTTGATTTAGAATTTGTTTCAAAGGGGCCACTAAGTTGTGGCCAAAATGAAAACAATGGTAAACCATTGCAGGTTTTGTTACTTACTGATCGTTAAAATCTTGGTAGTGTTATAACCATCAGGAAAATTATATTTCTAAAGAGCTGGTCATTAGACGAGAGGAAGGAATAAAGAGGAAGGAATAAAGAAATGGAGACATGTTTCAACTGGTAAAATATTTTGTCAGTGTCCACCAACTTGAATTGTCAGAAGAATGGCGCAGGTATTTTTTAATGACTCAAAAATGATTTCCTAACTCGTTAGAAAAAAAATGATAGTATTAAATCTTTTCTTTTCATGATATTGACCTGTTTAGATAGTATTATGTATTAGCTATTTACTAGCATGAAGCACCTGACATGCTGTCAGTTGGATATTTCAGTGCTTTCTTTCCTCCCGTGCAGTAACAGTAGGTCCTGAACCTTTTCCATTCTCTTGCCTGGCTTCTCATTGTGCCTAAGGAACCTGAATTTGCGAAACAACAGGCTGAATTAAGAGCAATCTCTGTGGGTATGAAAACCATCTTGTTAACATTCTGCTGCAACCATGTGTGCTTATTTATGGACTATTTAGTGTTCCTGGCTTATTACCTTTTCGGTTAATTAAAACAAAACCTGCTGTTAAGTGAATGTTAAAGTATTTAGAATTACAGAAGTAGAGAGCAGGGTGAAATAACCAAGACATGGGAGTTCTGACATGACCATTAGTGGCAGAGACTTTCTTATTTACAAATAATTGTAGGCTATGAAGCTCCTGTTTGATACGATTAAAAGACAATATTTGTTCACATTTCATTTCGTGTTTTGTTAAAATGCAGAGCCAACCGCATTTTGGGGTGAAAATTTAAAGGTTTAATGCTTGAGTATGAAGATTGTGAAGGCTATAGGTAGCCATCCAGTGATATTTTTTGAAGGAAGTGCTATACAATAAGGGAAATAATTCTTTAAAGTATTGGACCCCCATGTAGTGGAAAAGAGTTTTCAAGTTTTTCGGTATGACCTGTGCTTTCTGTAAGTTGAGTTTTAACGGGGAGGGGGGTGGGGGGGAGCTAAAAATGGAAACATTAGGGCATTTGGTGACATCTCAGTTTGGGACTCTTAAGAAATCCAAAGATGTATATGGTAAATTACAGCCCATCTCTAGTCTTCCTTTTACTGGTCCTTTTTTTTTTAGTTTGTATAACAAAAATTGGAAGGTTTGAAGTATTTTTCTTTTCTGTCTTTGATTTTATATAAAATATTTTCCTGTTTTATATATTTTGAATAAACAAAAAGTAAAAACTATTTTATTAAACATTAGAAAATGTTTAATTAGAAAATACAGGAATTCTTCAAATCTCTATAATTTGATATTTTAACTGTTACTAGTATATGCTTATCTTTTTCTTTGGCTCTTTAAAAAGATATTCATTTGAATCTACTATCTGAAAAATAAACTTGTTTTTTTTTTTGTTTTCACCTTACGACTGACTTGAAAAGTGGAATTATAATACTAGATATTTTCAGAAAAAATAACAGTATATGCAAATATCAGGAGTGTGAATTTGTTGAGTGGCCATAAGATATAAATAATACAATATTACTTCTTTTTTCAGTTATACTTATTTAATTAGTTGAGTCGGTGAATTATGTCAAGTCACTGATGGTTTCTAAACTCCTTCAATATATTTTCAATATAGTTTCTCACTTTTCTTTTCCCCTCCAGAATTGTTAAGGGAGGGAAATATCTTAATTTAGTTTTAAGTCTTTTCTCTTTTTATGCTTTTTATGTTATCTTTCTAGAGAAGGAATATTAATGTATTAACTAATTGATATTTGCATGTTAAGATTTTGTGTAAAGTTTACTATAGTGATTCACAAATTGTATTGAGTTTGATTTATAATTTACAAATCACCCATTGCAGCAGGGCTTACTAGTATGTATGGTTGAATTACTTATGCTTGCCAAATTATTTCTGGCCTGTAGTTAGAATTACACTACACTATTTTTGGATTTTGGGTTGAAAGTAAAAGCCTCTCCCTCTCCCCATTTAAGAAAAAAATCTTTGATTTCAAATGTAGATGATTTCTGAGAGCTATTTCACATGTCCTTCTAAATGTTAACATTCCATGCCCTATTTTGTACCCATTTGCAGAAGTTAGAGCTAATGGGTCAGTTTGGCAGAATTGTGACCACCTAAATCTCTCAATTTTTTATCTCAATAGAATATGCAAATTTTCTTTTTATCTGCCAGCAAGGATGAGCGAAAAGTAACATGGAGATCATTTTCTGTATTTAGAGAGTCTGGTAGTAAATAGCCAGTTTTGTGTTAAAAAATAATAGTTAACATACAAAACATTCTAAACCTGAACTGTCCAGTATGGTAGCCACTAGCCACATGGAGCTATTGCGCACTTGATATGTGGCTAGTCTGAATGGAGTTGTGCTATGTAAGTTTAAAAAACACACTGGATTTGAAAGAGTATATACACACACATATAAGAATGTAAAATTCCACATTAATAATTTCTTTATACTGAATATATGTGGAAATGATAATGTTTTGAATATTTTAGGCTAAATAAAATATACTTTTAAATTAATTTTACTGTTTTTTTAATTCTTAATATGGCTAAGAGAAAATTTGAATTTTTAGGCCTTTTCTCTGAGATACAGTACATTGAAGAAAAAAAATTCTTTTTAAGATACTTGAGTTTGAATCCCATCACCCAGTATTGATTATCAAATCCTTGTGAAATTGGGTTTCATCATTTCTAATTGGATATAGTCATTATCTCCCAGAGTTGTTTTGAGCATCCAATGATGTGGGTCTAATAGTGCTTCCAAACTTTAATATGCATATGAATCACCTGGATCCATACTTTTCATTTGTAAGGTACCCAGGTGATCCTGATACTGGTTGGGGATCACAGTTTACATAGCTAATATCTGGATTACTATATGGGTTTTTGTTCATTTTCCTTACCCCAGTTGTTACTGTCTATTTAGAATCTGTGAAAATTATCCATAGGATATAAAAATTGGAAAAGTTACTGTAGCTTGCAAGATTTATTAAAATTGGTTTTATTCATGGATTTTTATCTGCATTCTGGAGAATTCATTGTCAGTGAACAATAGTTAGGTAAATCTTGTGCTTATCAAAAGATAAAAAGATGGCTTGAATGTTATATTTGTAAATGTAGTGATTCCTGCTGTTTGACTTTAAGCTCTTTAAAGAAAGGATTAGAACTTAGATATCTTTATATATTTTTGTGGCTGAGTGCCTTGTTCACAGTTAGACTCAAATGTTGTGATATGTAAGTAAATAAGTTTAGCTTTTTGATATTTTATTTCTCTTAACAATTATATTAGGAATTAGCTTTTCATTCATCCAAGAAATACCAGTTTAAGTCAACAAAATTGATCAGCATTATACTAGCCACTTAGAGATATAAAAACAGCCCCTAACCACAAGGGGTTCATGGTTTAATAGAAGAAGGCTGTACAAAATATAGGTGAATGAACAATTTTTTGGAGATAGAGGAAGTTACAGTGGCATTAATAAGTTGTAAAACAGGTAGCCTATGCCAGACAGGAGGAAATGCAGAATTACAAAAGAAAGTTTGGAGAGCTGAGTAAGGTGGTATAACTAGAGTATTAGTCTGTTAGCGTGGCTGTGGGAAATGGATAATACTAGAGTTCTGTATAGGTTTCAGCTCATTAAGGCCTATGAATGTTGTCTTAAGAAGCTTTTATTGTATAGGTTGGAGAGTCAGTATAGAGCTTCACATATGGGAGGTCCATTTTGGCTTTTAAGTATATCATTCAGAGGCTTAGTGAATAAATTTGAGGGGTGATACTGAAGCTAGATAATCAGGCTGTACAGTAATCTAGATGAGAAATGATACATATCTAGACTAGGGAATTAGCAATGGCAAGAGAGTAGAGAGAGATTACAAAGGAGTTAGGTGTAAAAGTTGACCAAATTTGGTGTGGTTGGTTGGAGTGTGGGTGAGAAAAAGAATTTTTCGTTTTCTCCATTAGCACTCATTGGTTAAGGCATGGAAGCTGAGATGTCACATTGTTAAGATTTACACAGGGATAGGAGTTTGTGGCATGTGTGTAGATGGGAGACAGATAGGAGGGAACCAAGGGTACTGTTAAGTTAAAATGCTTGGGCTCCAGATTCGACAGGAAAGAAAATGAGAATGGGAATTGGATAAAGGAAAGGTGATGGTTAAGAGACTGGAAGTCCCCGTGAAAGTAATGAGCAGGTGTGGGAATGAGTAAGTGAGCCAGAAGGACCAGAGTTTGTGGTCTGAGAATGAGGTTAAGATTTAGAGAGGCAGCAGTTTTAGGTGGCATCTGATTCTAAATGTGGCCATCATACTTTGTTTCTGGAGGAAGGGGGTGAAATCCTTTGAATTCAGGATTTTAGGAACTAAAAACTGAGGACACTGTTTCTCATATTGTGTTTGAAGCATTACTTGCATCAGTAGCACTTGAAGTGAGATTCCTGGGTTTTATCCTTGTCTATTGGCCTAGAATCTCGAGGGTTAGGGCCGGAGAATGCATATTTTTAACAAGCAGCTTCAGTGGGGCAAGTTTAAAAATCTCTGAGTTAGGTGTTGGATGATTCATTCTCAGGGATATTTAAATAGATTCACAGTGATGTGTCAGGAGTTAAACTTGAAGAGAATAACCAATAGTGAGTAATGCTGTTTGAATAGTAGAATGTTTCCTCCTGTCTTGTGTGTGAAAATGGGCAATTCTCTTTGAGTAGGCTGCAGGAGGGACGTGAATGGAGTCTTCTGTGTGCCCTTGAAGTGTAGGCAACTTGAAGCTGTAGATGGTAAAGAAAAAGGATGGGGTGGAGGGAGAATCAGGACTGTAGTCATAGCATGTAAAGACTAAGTTCTAAAGTCAAAGTAAAACAAAAATGTTATTTAGAAACCCTTTTTAGTCAGTTACTTTAGAAAATTCTCTAGTTTTGAAACATTGTTTTGTTAAATTGGTGGGATAAGCTGACTTGTATTTTAAGGACATATATCATGTTTAAAACATTTGTCTTTCAAACACTAAAATACCAGATTTTGAAGTGAGATAGTGCTATGTCATGATGCTTGGTGAAGTGGAAGGAGGAAATATTAAATGTGAAGAAAGGGTCTGATGACTGAGGTGATGTTTGGTTAGTGCTTCTGGATTCTCTGGACAAGAGGCACCTTGAGAAGGTTGGCTTAATGGTTGTAAACTTGGACATGCATATAAATAGCAGGAGGTCTTACTGTGATGAGCTTGTTTTTGCACACACTACTTCCTTGAAGGTAATGGCTGTAGAATACATTTTCATCATCTTAAACAGAAATTCTACCCTTCTTTCTGGCCCCTGGTAATTGCTAATCTACTTTCTGTCTCAGAATTTGCCTGTTTTTAATATTTCATATAAATAGGATCATACATTTGTCCTTTTGTGTCTGGCCTATTTCACTTAGCATGATGTTTTCACGGCTCATCAATGTTGTAGCATTGGTCAGAACCTTATTTCTTTCTAGGGTTGAATAATACTCCATTGTATTGATATGCCATATTATCCATTCTTCTGTTATTGGGCACTTGTGTTGTGCCCACCATTTTGGTTTTGGGTGTGTTTTTTTGTTTTGTTTTGTTTTTTGGTTTTTTTTTACTTTTGTAAATAGTTCTGCAGTGAACATTGATGTACAAGTATCTGATCCCTGTTTTTAGTTCCTTTGGATATATACCGAGGAGTGAAATTGCATGGCAATCTTATGTTTAACTTTTTTGAGGAACCACCAAACTTTCCACAGTGGCTGTATTATTTTTCATTCCCATCAGCAGTGTACGAGGGTTCCATTTTCTCCATCCTCATCAATGCTTGTTACAATGTTTGTTTGTTTGTTTAAATTGTAGCCATCCAAGTAGATGTGGAATGGCATATAATTATGATTTTCATTTATATTTCTAATGACTAATAATGTTAAGCACCTTTTCCTGTACTTATTGGCCATTTATAAATCTTTGAAAAGAGTCTTTCTTTTGCCCATTTTTAAATTATTTTGGGGGGGGAGTCTTTTTGTTGTTAAGTTGTAGAAGTTCTTTTTATATTCTGGAGATTAAGCCCTTTTCAGAGAGGTGATTGATAAAAATTGTCTCCCATTCTCTAAATTGTCATTTACTTGTTTGACAATGTCTTTTGATGCCCCAAACTTTTCATTCTGATGAAGTCCAATTTATTTTTAATTTTGTTACTCATGCTTTTGGTGTCGCATCTAGGAATCCATTGCCAAATCCAAGATTATGGAGATTTACCCCGTTGTTTTCTACTAAGAGTTGTGTGGTTTTACCTCTTACATTAGGGTTATTGATCCATTTTGAGTTAATTTTGTAGATGGTGTGAAGTGGGGGTCTGATTTAATTTTTTTGCATGTGGAAATTCAGTTGTTGAAGAGACTATTTTTTTTTCCCCATTGAATGGACTTGGCACCCTTTTTGAAAATCAATTGGCCATAGATATATGGGTTTATTTCTGGACTCTTTTATTGCATCATTTGTCTATTGTTAGGCCAGTACCCACATTGTCTTGATTACTATAGCTTTGTGGTAAGTTTTGAACCAGAAATGTGAATTCTCCAGCTTTGTTCTTCTTTTTCAAGATTATTTTGGTAATTAGGGCCCATCGTAATTCCATTTGAGTTTAAGGATTGCCTTTTCCATTTCTGCAAAAAAGGTTGTTGGAATTTTTATAAGAATTATGTTGAATCTGTACATACATCATTTTGTGTAGTGTTGTCATCCAATTCATCTGTAGTGTGGTCTTCCAATTCATGAATACAGGTTGTCTGTCCATTTATTTAGCTTTTTAATTTCGCCCAGCAGTGTTTTATAGTTTTCTTTGTATAAGTCGTTTATCTCCTTGGTGAAGTGGATTCCTCAGTATTTCTTTCTTTTAGATACTACTGTAAATAGAATTGCTTTCTTGAATTCCTTTTTGGATTGTTGACTGCTAGATATAGAAATAAAACTGGCTTTTTTGTGCTCTGAACTTGCAACCTGCTGCTGTACTTGTTTACTAGCTCTAGTAGCTTTCTTGTGTATTCTTCGAGATTTTCAATATAGAGAACAGAAATAGTTTTACTATCTCTGCAAATAAGGGAAATTAACTTCTTAGCAATTTGTATGCCTTTTAATGTCTTTTCAATTCTAGTATAATGTTGAATAGCAGTGGTGAAAGCAGGCATCATTGTCTTGAAATTTTTCAACCTGTAAGATAAAATTTGCCACTGACATATGTTAAATGAAAGGATCATGCAAAATTTAATAAATTTGGTGATCTTGCTCTTCTAGCCGGTTTGGCTCAGTGGATAGAACGTCGGCCTGCGGACTGAAAGGTCCCAGGTTCGATTCCAGCCAAGGGCACACGCCTGGATTGCAGGCTCGATCCCCAGTGGGGGATGTGCAGGAGGTAGCCGATTGATGATTCTCTCTCATCATTGATGTTTCTATCTCTCTCTCTCCCTCTTCCTTCCTTTCTGAAATCAATAAAGAAATGTATTTTTTTAAAAAATTTTGGTGATCTTAATTAGTCTGTAGAGAACTTGATGTTTAAAATTTTTCTTTTGCAGCACAGGATGAACCAGCCTTGAAGAGAAAATACTACAAACTGGCTAATGGATGTGAAAATGATGTTTTATTTTTGTGACCAGCATCTGTGAGATCTGTAATAGAAATGTAAGTATGGCATCATCGTTTTTCCAGAGCTACAGTAAATTAAGTGTACTGGTATAAAATGCAGTGAATCAAATATCTATCATTTCCAGTTAATATAATATGAGTGTTTTGTATTGATTTTTTAGATGTTTTATTGAGTTAGCAATCTTATTTAAATTATTGCTAATGTAGATTTCCCAAAATCTCATCGAGGAAAGTCTTCCTAAAAAAGTGAAACTGAAGACAGCACTTGCTCTTAGAAGGCTAAAAAACTATAAAGAGCTACAGTTTCTTCTAGGTTCTTCTTTCTTTTTACATAGCAACTTGTTTACTTAAATAACCAAGTTAGGTAGACAGTATCAGCTTTTATAAATAAGAGGGACTTACTGGGTTATAAAACACTAGTTACTAAAAACTTGTTTCACTGAACTGGATTTTTAATTATTGCATTTTATACAGAGAGAATTCACTGGAATCCCCAGTTTTAGTTATTTTCTATCATTTAGTCTTTTCCAATATGATGCCTTGATTATGTATACTCATTAAAAGTGTGACCATATCATTCTTAGTGTTGAGAATTTCATAAAAAGTGAAACCAACTCTGGCTGGTTTGGCTCAGTGGATAGAGCGTCAGCCTGTGGACTGAAGGGTTTGGGTTCAATTCCGGACAAGGACATGTGCCCAGGTTGTGGGCTTGATCCCCAGTTGGGGGCGTGCAGGAGGCAGCCGATCAATGACTCTCTCTCATCATTGATGTTTCTCTCTCTCTCTCCCTCTCCGTTCCTCTCTAAAATCTCTCTCTATATATGTATATATATTGAAACCAGTAAGCATTTTTCTTTACAATTAGGGCAAATATATATTTTATTTAATTCTATTCATATGTTATCTGTCTATATATTTTTAATCCTGTAGCTCAGATAGTCTAGGTCAGTGGTCGGTAAACCTCGGATTGCGAGCCACATGCGGCTCTTTGGCCCCTTGAGTGTGGCTCTTCCACAAAATACCACGTGCGGGCACGCACGCACGTACAGTGCGATTGAAACTTCGTGGCCCATGCGCAGAAGTTGGTTTTCGGAAAGGAGATAGATGAAACAAGTATACAAGACGAGTGTGGATGGGAGAGTTGGAAGGGGTCGACCTCAGCAAACGTACCTTAATCAGATTGAGGACGTTTTTAGAAAAGTCCAGCTTAGGAGTACCCTAATTAAGTTAATAACAATGTACCTACCTATATAGTTTAAGTTGAAAAAATTTGGCTCTCAAAAGCAATTTCAATCGTTGTACTGTTGATATTTGGCTCTGTTGACTAATGAGTTTGATGACCACTGGTCTAGGTGCCAGCTGTCAAGGAATGTAGACTATGTCAAGGTTACAAAGTCATCTGACCTACTTGTCATCTGAATTACTTTCAGCCATTTTTTGTTTCTCTACTTCATATTGGCCAGTGTATCTAGAAGGCTGATCCAGGGGAACTTACATGTGAGATGAGGTGGGGGCCAGACCATACAGGGCATATAGATCCTGGTCTTTATTGTAAAATCAACAAGGGATATGGTTGAACAAATTAAAAGGCATATACAATAATTAAACAGTTTACTTGGTGGCTAGGGAAGTGTAGAGGTGGGTAGTAGATGATTCAGGAAATATTTAGGAGATAAAATTGATAAGACATGTTTTGGACGGGAGAAGGATAAGAGAAGGGCAGTTTCAGGTCTGGATTTCTAGCTTGAAAAAGCAGATGGTTATCGGTGTCACGGGGGTGGGGGGCTTTTAAGGAGTAAATAAGGAGGAAGCAGATCTTGAATAGTTTTTGTGCCTTCAAGGCATCCACGAAGAGATCTAAAATAGGCGATTAGGGCTAGGGCTGAAAAGAGATCTGGGCTGGTGATGTCAATTGTGAATCATTTGTATATAGGTAACAGTTGAAGCCCTGAGAATAGATGAGGTCATCTTGAAAGAGCACAGCAAGAAGAGCACATAGCTTATAAAAAGGTCACAGAGAGGGAATGCAGTTTAACCAGTGTTTTCAGATTTACCGCAGGGATAAGGAACTTCTGGGATTTCACCTTTAGTCTTAATTTCATATGGTATACTTGTCAAGTACCAAAAGTATATTGTCATATGGTACTGTTTGCAAAATTGACACTTAGTAACTGAAAGGTTACAAAACCGTCGCTTTCTGTGATCATCTGATTTCAGGCATTTTGTTTCTCTGCTTTCCAGACTGATTGTCAAAGTCAGTGTAGAGTGGACTGTGCATTTCAAAATCTTTGCACGTAGTTCTATCTTACAAGGTCTGTGACTGAATAGAAACGGTATATTAAAAACCATTCTATACCTTACTTGTATTTTTTTACTTTTGACTTAACATTTGTATGCCTTATTCCCCGCCCCGCACGCTCAAGTAAAAATCAATGACATACAAACCAAAAAGGTTTCTCTATACAAGTTACAGTTTTTTTCTCTATTTTCACTTCTGTATCCCTATTCATTGTCTAGTATGTGGTTTGCATATAATAGGTGTTTAATAAGTTTTTTCTGAATTGTTGATTTAAGAGTTAAAACCTGATTTTAATATATGTATTTCCTTTCGTTTTCTTAGGATGGCTGGCTGTGGTGAAATTGATCACTCAGTAAACATGCTTCCTACGAACAGGAAAGCGAATGAATCCTGTGCTAATACTGCACCTTCTCTAACTGTCCCCGAATGTGCCATTTGTCTGCAAACATGTGTTCACCCAGTCAGTCTGCCTTGTAAGCATGTTTTCTGCTACCTATGTGTAAAGGGAGCTTCATGGCTTGGAAAGCGATGTGCCCTCTGTCGACAAGAAATTCCCGAGGATTTCCTTGACAAGCCAACCTTATTGTCACCAGAAGAACTCAAGGCAGCAAGTAGAGGAAATGGTGAATACGCATGGTATTATGAAGGAAGAAACGGGTGGTGGCAGTATGACGAACGCACGAGTAGGGAGCTGGAAGATGCTTTTTCCAAAGGTAAAAAGAGCACTGAAATGTTAATTGCCGGGTTTCTGTATGTTGCTGATCTTGAAAATATGGTTCAATATAGGCGAAATGAACATGGACGTCGCAGGAAGATGAAGCGGGACATAATAGATATACCAAAGAAGGGAGTAGCCGGACTTAGGCTGGACTGTGATGCTAATACCGTAAACCTAGCAAGAGAGAGCTCTGCCGATGGAGCGGACAGTGTATCGGCACAGAGTGGAGCTTCGGTTCAGCCTCTAGTGTCGTCGTCTGTGAGGCCCCTGACGTCGGTAGATGGTCAGTTAACGAGCCCTGTGACACCATCCCCTGATGCAAGCACTTCTCTGGAAGACTCTTTTGCTCATTTACAACTCGGTGGAGACAGCCTGGCTGAAAGGAGTCATAGGGGGGAAGGAGAAGAAGATCGTGAATTACCGTCCTCAGGCAGGGTACCGGCACCAGACGCCTCCATTGAAGAAACTGAATCAGATGCCAGTAGTGATAGTGAGGATGTGTCAGCGCTTGTTGCACAACACTCCTTGACCCAACAGAGACTTTTGGTTCCTAATGCAAACCAGACAGTATCTGATCGATCAGTAACTGATGGATCACTAGCAGGGGGTGGAACAGTGAGTGCCAGTGTCAGATCTAGAAGGCCTGATGGACAGTGCACAGTAACTGAAGTTTAAATAAAAGTCTTCAGCTCCATGCTCAAGGTTAAAATGGTTATCTGTAAATTTCTGCCCACATAACATTATACTCATCCCTAGTAGTACATTTTTGGGAGTTGGGGTGGGAAGGGGTATAGGAAGGATAGACCTATAATTAAAATGTCCAGTCTAACATGTCTCTGTTGAGAAATTTATTTAAGGAACTTGGGTGTTAATAGTTGAAAGCTGTTTAGTAATAACCCAGTTTTCTTGAAGTCTGTTTATTTTATAGTTTTAAAAAATTCCGTTCTTTTGGCCGGCGTGTATGTATTATCTGTGCATTAATGGTCCCATCTGACTTTTGCATTTTGTCTTACTTTCCTGCATGGATTGACATAAAGCCATTACTAAAATTTGGCACCTATGAGATGTCGTATCAGTTTTAACAGGAAGCTTAATTAATGTGAGAATACATGTGAATTTGGGGTTTTAAAATAGACAAAAACTATTTAATAGTAAAGTTACTGAAATGGAAATGTAAAGAAAACACCTAATTTATGTTTCATAATCTTGTCTGTAACATATTCATGGCGTTCCCATAGACTTTGCTGTCTAGTCCTTGTAGTTTGAAGTTTCTCTTGATCGTTTTCTTTTTGGTTACAAAATTTATAATTTAATAAATACTAGAATTTATCAAAAATCATTTGTCTCTTGCTTGAGTCTGGAAAGAGGATGTTAACATTTTGACATTTGTAACCAAAGGTCTATCAAAACGTGGTTTCAATTACTGGTATTCAGCTTAAATGAGTCACCTGCTCAGAAAAGTCTGATTTTTTTTTTTCATAGAGAGTATTTAAACAGAATCTGCAGGGAATGTGCATGGAATAAATACATATGGAAATAGACCTAAAGCCTGTGAGACAAATTTCTTCAATAACGTAGTAGAGACCATACGTATTTTAGATTTTTCTTGCCAGTCTTCATTAGTGGTCTGATACTCATCTGAATTAAATGGTAGGCTTACCAGTATTGGTAGACACAAACTACTTTTACACAAAATGTTGTAGAACCTGTGACAAGGTAGGAAATACTGGGTTCACTTGGTAATCCAGAGTTTGGTTCTGCAAAAAAAGTAATGTAAGTTTATCTTACTACATTTTCCTAGCTCAAAACAGTAGGATCATGTTGATGAAACGTGTAAGTTATTTTAAATAATTTTAAAATGTGAATTGAATTTTACAAATAGCAAATAAAAACTCACTACTTTGAAATAATCTTTTACCTCTTACAATGTTAGAATTGGGACTACTTCAATTTAATATGTTTTTTAAAGTCTGCTAGTGAGATAATCATGACTTTTGAGTTGTGTATTTTTATTAAATTTAGTTATAAAAGAAGGCTACTTTTTCAGAAAAAAATAGAAATCTGATGTAAAGCGCAAATGTAGGTTACAGAATGCTTCTGAGTCCTTTGAAGTCTTAGGCAGTTTTGATCTAAAGTTAGATTTTATGACATAAACGAGTAAATTCCAGGGCACACAAATTTCATTAAGTATTTTATTTTTGTAAATTATTTCCAGATAAGACAGAATAAAGACTTATGAAAAATAACACCATGAGCAGGTTTTGTGTAGTTTTTCCTTTAAAAACTGGTCTTTGGTTATAGGCTAAGAACCATTAAGGGAACTGGGAAATTGGTAATAATTTTTAAGCCAAAAGTATGCAGGTTTACTTGGTAAATACCCAAGTACAGTAGTTTCCTCCCCCATCTGTGCTTTCACTTTCTGAGTTTTCAGCTATCCAGTTAACTGCAGTCTGAAAATATTAAATGGAAAATTCCAGAAATAAACCATACGTTTTAAATTGCACGCTGTTGTTGGTGCGATGAAATCTCACACTGTCCTGATCATCCTGCCCAATTTGAATCCTTTTGTCCAGCATATCTGCACTGTATACCCCACCTGCCTGTTGTCACTTAGTAGCCATCTCAGTTATCAGAGTCACAGGATCCCAGTGCTGGTGTTCAAGAAAACCTTATGTTACTTAATAATGGCCCCAAAGTGCCAGAACAGTGATGCTGGCAATTTGGATATGCCAAAGAGAGGCAATGAAGTGCTTCGCATAGTGCAAAGGTGAGTATTGTACAATAAAATATTTTGAAAAAGAGACCACATTCACATAACTTATTATATTATTATTGTTTATTAGTTACTGTGTGCCGGGAGCCGTTCCATGCTTGCTGTTTCAAGGGACCTGGCATATATGGCATACTGTTCTTAATATGTTTGCTCACCTGCTTGGCACTATGTGTTTTAACCAAGGTCTCTGAGAAAGGTTGTTTCCCCAGGTAGGGATTTTCCCCTGAAGTTAGGGAGGGAATAAAACCTCTTAACTAAGTGCCAGGCGGGTAATTAATCACTCTAACTACGAACAATCATGCTTAAGCTACATAATCTTTACTCCCTGGAATGGAGATAAGAAACGCCCTAACCTTTGGAATAGAGATTGATAGGATTGGAATCAACTGGTATAAATACAGATGTAACAAGACAGAACGAAGAGAGACAGAACCTAGGCACAGAACCTACACAGAACGTTCTCTAGAGACAGAAGAACTTCGCTGGAGAGAACATGGCAAAAGTTCCTGGACAGAAACTGGCCTCAGAACCTAGAGACAGAACCTAGCGAGAGAACATGGCAAAAGATCCTGGACTGAACCTGACTACAGAAATTGGCAAGAGAACCTGACTAGAACCTGGTAAGAGAACCTGGCTGGAGAACCTGGACAGAACCTGGCTGGAGAACCTAGCGAGGGAACATGACTACAGAACCTGGCTGGAGATCCTAACCAGAACTTCTCTGGAGATCCAGACCAGAACTTGGCTGGAGATCCTGGCTAGGCTGCTGATCAACTGAAGACTGTCTCCGTGTCCTTCCTTCTTCGCCGACTCCATCCACACCTTTGGGGACCCCTGGACCTGCTGGGGTTGGACCCCGGCAACTGTGCCTAATTTATAAATTAAATTTTATCACAGGTATGTAAGCATCACAGGATTCAGTACTGTCCAGTCTCAGGCATCCACTGGGGGTCAAGGAACCTATTTCCTGCAGGTAAGGGGGACTACAGTATACTGAAAGCCATGCCAGTGAGTTTAGGTATTCAAAAAATGATTAAAAACAAACCCAAATACTAGTGCTACCCTTCAAAGTAACTGACATGTTTAATATTTAACTTTTCTACACATTAAATTGGAGTTGTAGTACACCTATTTAAAAGCAACTATTTACAGAATTTTCCTCTCCTAGCAATAGCCTCCAAATTTGCCGGCCCACCCCAAAGTGTTCCTACAAGATCTCTTTCGGTCTGCAACGCCTCCTGGAAACAAAGCTCTTTGCCTGAAGAAACAGTTTTTTTCAAAGCTCTGATCACTTCCGGTGGCCCTTTGATGAACTGATTCAGCCATTCTTGTGCCTCTTTTAGACACTCTGTTTCATCTGAAGACTGCAAGACCTCATCGACCATTCCTAGGTTTAAAGCTAGTTTTGAATCCAGTTTGAGGGCCCCACTTAACACTTTGAGAGCCTGTTTACTGCCAATAATGTCAGCCAGTCGGGTAGCCCCGCCCCAGCTTGGTATTATACCCATCTCCTTGTGAACAAATCTGATCTCACTCTCTCTCGTCATTAATCTGCAAAAGAGAAAAAAAAAACTTAATTGTAATTATGTATGCTTTAATAATAAAGTACTGCCTATTCATGATCTGATCTGAAATCTCCATATCTCTTTATAGATATATTAAAAACAATGTTCAAAACATCTGGCTAAGTATAGAATTCAATTTATACATAGTAGTTAACACTTCCCTTTGAAAACTCAACATTTTTGTTGTGCTTGCTTATCGTTTACTTTGCAAATAAGAATCTAATGTTTATGTTAAGTTCTAAAAGCCCGAAGTGTATCAGTAAAGTGGTAGCCTAATGAGAAAACCTAGGTTAAGTGAAAATATGGGAGTTGGAAATGTTAGGTGGATACCATGGGTAAAAAATGCATGGTTCGGGTCAATAGTCCTTAGGAAAAGAAAAACTGTTTAACCCAGCATCTATCCAGTCTCCCAGCAAATATGTACTAAGCACTATTAATGCCAGTTTACATTCCTGTTAGAGAAAGGCAATGAGTGATATGTCAGCAGTGATAAGTGCTATGAAGAAAAATAAAATGGGCCTTGGCTAGTGTGGCTGTGTTGGAGCATCTTCTTATACATCAAAAGGTGGCAGGTTCAATTCCTGGTCAGGGCACACACCCAGGTTGTGAATCTGATTGCTAGTCGGATGTGTACAGGAGGCAACCAATTGGTGGTTCTCACATCAATGTTTCTCTCCCTTTCTTTAAAATAAAATAAAAAAGGAAAACAATAAAATGGGGCAAGAGACTAGAGAATAAAGATATGTGTGTTGGGGATGTGCTAGTTTAGATGAAAAAGGCCTCTGAATATTTGAGCAGCTACCCTAGTGAGTAAGCAATGAAAAAATCTGCAGGGCAAGTGATCCAGGAAGAGGGCTTGCAAGTGCAAAGCCCTTGAAGTAGAACTTCGTATCTCTGGAACAGGCTACTGTAGCTGGAATGGAGTAAACAGAGCAATGGGAGCAGAAATCGGAGAAGCGGGCTTAGAGGCCTAAGATGGGAATTGAGGTTTTCAAGTGTGAAGCTATTTAGAGGTTACTCAAGAGAGTTACCCTGGTTGCTGTGTTAAGACTTTATTTAGCAGACAATAGCACACTATTTGTCTCTGGAACTTTTTAAAAACTTTTTTTAAAACTGTTTTTATTTATTTCAGAGGGGGAGACAGAAACATCAATGATGAGAGAGAATCATTGATGAGCTGCCCCCTACTGGGGGTCGAGCCTACTACCCAGACATGTGCCCTGACTGAGAACTGAACTGTGACCTCCTGGTTCATGGGGTTGACACTTAACCACTGAGCCACACCAGCCCGGCTGTTGATGGAATTTCATGTCAATAATCCTCAGAACAACCATATGTAGAAATATCTTCATCTTACACAGGGAAACTGAGGTAATGAAATAAATACCTCACTCAAGGTCTCCAGTGCAGCTAGATCACAGAATTGAAACCCAGTAGGTTTAACTTCATGTGCTCTGAACCTCACACACAATAGTTAGACAGGAATGGAAGCAGGGATACCAGTAAGAAAGTTGACGACAGCTTGGGTGAGACAGAGCAATGACTTCCTGTAGCAGGAATTCATTTTCCCCAAATCTTGGGATTTTTATAAATAGGGTGATTAATAAGCAAAGTGGAACCATAAAGGGGAGTTAACACAAAGAAATTAGTGAGCATAGCAAAAGGCTTCATATTTACCAATTAAATACTTGTGCACTATTAATAGACTTTTAGGGAATGGTGCCTATGAGTTTTATATGGAGGCTTCAATGAGAAGCTTTCACTATGTTAAAACCTTAATTTGGACAAAAGGTCATGTCTGAATTTTAATTTTTTTTAAAAGTATTGTTTTAAATACTCATTACCAAAAAAGACTACAAGTTAGTTTTCTAAAATGTTCAATGCAGAGCTGCACCAACAATAACAAACTCTTAGTCTTTGGTCCTTTAATCATAAGAAATATTCCAGTAGAGAATTCTCACAAAAGCCTATTTATTAAACCACTGGGAAAGAGAACTTTCTCTTCAGAGCTGTGAATTCCTACACGGGTAAATTTTCCTTAATTATGAACAATTGCTTTTAGAGTCAAATAGCCATGAAAATACATAATTTTTAAATTGGAAGAGAGAACAAGTATCCTAAGAATCTGAACCTAGCCCCAAATTTGAGAGAGGGTCTGCAGAAAACAATGTCAAAAATGAAGAGAGCAGAATATAAATTACAGAAATAATGCTAAATAGTCTTAGAGACAGGAATATTAACATTGAACACAATCCTATAAAATAGCTTTTCACAGAAATAAACAATATATCACAGTTCTAAATTACAACTGGAATTGAAACAAATGTTGGCTCAGAGCTATTCCTACAATACAGAAAAGGATTATGTCAGGAATACATTTAGAATCAGCTGAACATAAAAGTAAGTTAAAGCCCTAGATGCTGGGATAATGAAGATGAACTTATGACAACAAAAGTTATCTAAATAACAACAAAAGTTATTTATATTTGGAATTCTTTGCTTCTAAAGAAGAATTTTTATCATCTTTATACCATGTGTGTGTTTTTTCCTTTGCCACATTTACAAGGTGATGTATGCCTTCCTGAACTGTATTTTATAACTCTAACAAACCCTGCGGTAATCTTTGTAAAAATACCTGTTGTGATTAAACTCTGACCTCCACTCATTACATATCATATACCTACGGTATGTTTCTATACTGATACACATTTAATACATGCTAGTTAATATGACCAAAAAATATGTTAATGATAAGAGAACACAGATAGTTTAACAATGAGAGAAATATGTACCCTTTCACAAAACTCTTTAGTAATCTAAAAATTAATATAACCGTACTTTATGAAGAAAATGTCCAATCAGTAAGATATATCCAAAGATAGAACTGCTTCCTGATAGACCTTACAGGATTACTTCTAGAGTTTACGTTCAGTTACCTGATACCACCTGTAATGTCATTTATTGCAAAGAATATTAATCTATATAGAAAACTGGAAGACCTAAATCTTGAAATTTTGAAGACTTACTAGAGACTCAATTTTATAAAACTGTATCAAACTCCCTTATTTTGGCAAGTAAAAATATTATAAGGATCTTCTGTTTATTAATGTAATTATTATTGGCAATGTTTAAAATTTCCTGTGACACCTTGGAGGAGGGGAAATGAGGAAAGTAATCAAATGTGGATACACCCATCGTTACTGTATGGATCTTAGTCAAATAAATAAAAGTGGCGAACTGGGACTGAAACTAAATTTCTGTCTCTAATGCTCCAGCTTTTTATTGCCTTTTCCATTTTATTTCCAAGTATGTTATATATACACTACGTTTGCACTTTATAGAGGCTCAAATGTATAAATCTGTACAGGTCAAAGAACATTTGTACTGGTTCTCCTTGTAGTTAAGCTAATAGGACTTAGGAATGGTAACAGAACACAGTTTTAGGCACATGTAAAGCATCAGGTTCTATGATGCCATCCCTATAAAGCATAGCTATCCAATACTAAGAAGAATTCTAGGGGTTGAAGAGTTATTGGTCCCAAATAACTTGATTCCCTAATCAACCCAGTCACTATATTCACAGTAAAGATAAATGTATAGCTGTAGCTTTAAAGTACAGAAAACTTATTTTTATTGGTTAAGAGGATGACTACAGCAGTCTCTCTCCATTCCTTTTTTTTTTTTTTAGTTCTTTACTTTTCTTTGTATTATTCTTTTGAATCTTAAAGTTTCATATATTTCTTTGGCTTCCCTTCTCAGGGATTTTGCTGAAATGGATTTGATTTACTTAAAATCAACTTGTTTCGTTAACTTTTTGAATGCATGGTAATAAAGTAATAGTAGAGCTCAACTGACTAAAATTATCTACTTTAATGATTAACAAAAATAAATATTCACTAACTGATTTTCCTATTTAAGAGTACATAAATATTTATATTCAGACAAAAAATAACTTTGAGCATATGTTAATTATATCTGTGCAAGCAGGAATGCAATTTTCATCCTACCTGAAATCACATGCCGTAGTAACCTCTGCTCCTCCACCCAATGCCCAACCTTGAACCAGTGCAACACTTATCAAAGGAAGTCTGTATATTGAAGGAAAAATGTATGTTAACATTTTAAATTTCAATATTAATCTACAAACATTATTGAAAACTTGAGATGCAATAGAAACAAAATTACTGAACTATGTTTATAATAAATAAGAAACAAATCTCAAAGGATACTCAGTGCATTATGAGGAGCAAATCAGTATAATACTGAAGATATACAATTCATACAAAATGCCATATACGTTTATCAAAATACCTCTCTGAATCATTGTTTATTTTAAAACCAGAGTCAGATTCTAACTTTACTCCAAAAAAATGGATGATTTTGGACAATATACAGCTCCTGGCACTTCTCAACTACTTACTAGCAATCAGGAATAATTCCATGTGATATTGCCTTATTTCGTTTTTATTGGTATCAGGTTATAGATGGAAAAGTTAGGACTGTATCCAAAGGGAGGAAATGTGGGACAGAAGAATGAGCTCCAAAACTGTAGTTATAAAGGTTCCTGTCTTTTCACTGCTCACTCAGATGGTCCAGAGATAAGTCCTGTATAAAGAAATGGCTCTGTAGTGCCAGTAAAAACAAATCTCTTCCTGTTTGCAAAGACCCACTTTGCAGTGCAAGGCTGTATCAGCATAAAAGGTAAATCGAAAATGTTTTGGAAGTATGGATTTTTTTTGTAGGTTCTAATTGAAATGCATAGCTGTAAAGTACAGTAACTGAAAATTTCTTAATACACTTCTCTCAATTAAAAATAATTATTAAAGCCCTAGCCAGTTTGGCTCAGTGATAGAGCACTGGCCTGCATACTCATTGAAGGGTCCCAGGTTCAATTCTGGTCCAGGGCACATGCGGACTCGATCCCCAGTAGTGGGCATGCAGGAGGCAGCTGATCAATGATTCTCTCTCATTGATGTTTCTCTCTCTCTCTCCTTTCTCCCTTCCTCTCTGAAATCAGTACAATAATATTATTTTTTAAAAAAAACTTTAAGAAACAAAGCCAAATATAATAGAAAGAGGTGAACAGGAGCCAATACAATGAAAAAAGTATTTTAGAATAGTAATGTTACGATTCCATTGTTCTTCTTAGACTCTTACATACAAAGAACAACAAAAGTACAGTGTTGTCCAATTCATTAATATACTAAATAAATGGAAATTTCCTTCGTTATTATAGTTTTTAAGTTGTTTCCAGTTGGAATATAGAAGTAGAAAGCTCATCAGCCCAAACATGTCATTGTTTATAATCCCAAATGCAAAGTGAATCCACCTTCCTCACCAACCTGTAGTTCTTTTTCTCCAGTCGGTAGCTCTTTTTCTCTCTTCAGGATACGGACCACTTCGCTAGATGTTCTACTAATTCTGCTTAGGTAATCTTTGTGTCCTCTCCTGATCATGTCTTTATTCTGCTCTGATATCAGTATTTTAACTTTCCCATGTCTATACCTAAATACATACGGCTAGTAATATAATCTCTTTATGGGAAAGCACTATATTTTAAATTCTTTTTATCTCTCATGTCTCTTATTTTTAAATACTTGTGCATATTTCACTAACATTTAATTAAATGACTATCCTCGATGGCACAAACAGTTCATTAGAATAAATATAATTTGAAAAATCAGCTATTTTTTACTGGTACAACACAGAATAATAAAAACCCATTTTTGTTTTATTAGAAATCATATTTGAAAAAGAAAAATACATTACCTCATCAATCTTGTTAAGGTGTTTTGCATGAACATACATAAGGCCACTCCATCCTTTAAATAAAAATAACCATAAACACAAAGGTATAATGCAAATGCATAAGAATTAAAAAACAAACAAACATATTTTCAGGGTTTAGAAAGAAATAAAGCCAATAATATACCTAACTTTTTTTTAAATGAGGTTTTCATTTAAAACTCTTTGAGGCACGGCTGTCTGAAATGCAAATGATGCAGTTTGGATTTTATTGGTGTTCTAGGACTCCTGGGCTCAGCTTGGAATGAGGCATTAGCAAAGACTTAGCGGTGAGAGTTAGGTCACACACCCCTGACAGTATGGGTTCTACTCGGGTAATATGGGGGGAAGAGACATAACATACCCCATCCATTATCCCAGACTCAGAGCCTCTAAAACAGCGGTTCTCAACCTGTGGGTCGCGACCCCTTTGGGGGTCGCCTAAGAACATCAGAAAACACATAGCCTATCTAATAATAGACAAACATGGTAATTAACTGTACCTTCGCTACCATCACCATTGGCTGATCAGCACGATATGCAAATTAACTGCCAACAAAGATGGTGGCTAATTTGCACACTGTAGGAAGGGCAGGACACCGGAAGCCGCCATCCAGGCCCCCGTGTGCGACCCCAGGAACCACCGGAAAGCTGGGCCGCAGGCAAGGCGGCCCCCCGGGACCCAGGAGCTATGAGGGAGAGGGTGGGGGGCAGAGGGAGCTACAGGAGCAGCTCTGGCTGGAGAATGAAGACTCCCGCTGGAGCAAGGAGCAAAGACTGAAGGTTCCAGCTGCAGTGAAGACTGTGTCCAGAGTGAATATGGAAGGCGGTGGCCAGAGTGAAGGTCTGGGTCCCGGATGCCAGAAGAAAACTGGTGCTGGCAGCCAGGGGAAAGAAGGCCTATTGCACGAATCTTCGTGCAACGGGCCTCTAGTTGAATATATAATTACATATTGTTTTTGTGACTAATCACTATGCTTTAATTCAGTTTGTAACAATGAAAATACATCCTGCATATCAGATATTTACATTATGATTCATAACAGTAGCAAAATTACAGTTATGAAGTAACAACGAAAATAATTTTATGGTTGGGAGTCACCACAACACGAGGAACTGTATTAAAGGGTCGCGGCATTAGGAAGGTTGAGAACCACTGCTCTAAAAGTATACAGCCTACATTTACAATTTAATGGCAACAAATACATTTTTTTCCTTTTTCATTTCTCTCATGTTTTGTTTTTGTTGTTGTTGTTGTTTGGGGCCTAGGGGATGTGTGGAAGCCTGAATTCAAGAAAAAGAAGTTCCTTGGAGGGCTGATAATGGAAGATGATTAAGGTTCTTTTTCTATCAGAGTAATAATTCAAAGCAAAACTTTAAATTGTTATCATTTGTTGAAGCTTGCTATGTACCAAAGTACCAAAGCTGTTAGATTCTATATAGTATACCTCATATAAATTCCTTTTCAGGAGATGCTAAGGGGCTTTCACTTAAAATTCAAGTTCTTGCTGTATTCAATAATGTACTTTGGTTATTGCTAATCTCCTCGTTCTTCCTCCCCACCCCCCACCCCCCCTCAATACTTCACACTATTGCAACCTAATCTTGAAGAAGCAAAACAAAAACTCTGATCCTTGGAAAGCTATTAAAGAGTAGCTGTCATCATAACCATATAAGTAAAATATAAATAGCTCAGCCATAGCTCTCTGGTAAACATGTAGAGCCCAGTATGCAATTCATATATACTTGCCTCTGGAGTTCCTAGGGCTTTCACAGCATTCAGATCAGATCCTGAGGAGAATGTATTTTTTGCCCCACGAACAATGAGACCTTTCCCCTCTGTCCAATTTTCCAATTCAGTCACTTTTTCCAAAAGTTGTAGCATCATAACACCTGCCAGAGAGCGGGGGGGGGGGGGGGGGGGGGGGGGGGGGGGGGGGGTCATAAACAGCTAAGATACTGAAGAAACAGAAATAATTTAGAAACCATAAGGCTTCAAACAAGACTCTTATGTCATATATTATACAAATTATTTACTGAATGTCAAATACCTATTGTGTTGGTACTATGATGTACATACAAAAGAGGTATACATAACAGTCCCTGGTTTAAAAGCTTAGTGATCTTTTGCATAACATCATGGCAGCACAATTCGAATTTGAGCTTTGGCCAAAAATGACAAATCAACATGTATCCTGAACCTTCAGGTCTCTTAAATATAAAATTTTTATATTCCAAGAGTGCTGCCTAGCAAATAGAAGGTATTTACCAGTATCCGAGTTAGGAAATGAGAAACAAATAGATAGGCAAGTGCAGTGTTTTCATTGATTGAAATTACATGTTTAAAATCTGTCTTATTTCAATTCACAAAAAGGAAAATTTAAACTAAATAGTAATTTCTTTTTTCATTTATAGGTTTTTCTCTTTAGTTGTTAAAAATCTTTTAAACCACCTTTCCTTTGTCTCCCAGTAACATTAGCTGAACACAAACAAATGAAGTTAGTAAGCAGTTAATAAATTTCAATGGAAAAAATAATCAAGATTAACTTGATATTTTCCTTTTCATTAGCATCTGTATTCCCAGGTTTTTAAATAAGAAAATCATTTAAACTTCCACCATGAGTAAAAATGTTCCCGTTCATATGATAGTTTTGTTTTGTTTCCATGTTCTACAAAGGGTACCATGACTTTCACGGATTACGTCACCAAAGTAAGGATAAGAGTCATGTAATAGCAGGTTAGAACTAGTGTCACTTTTTAACGAGCCTAAGAAAGCTCTCTGTACCTGAGAAGGCATTCCTTTTACTGGGATTGTTCAGAGTAAGGATGCCAATGCCATTGTCTTCCTTCTGAAGGTCAATGGATCCGCCAGGAAACTGCTGAAGTTTTTTTTTTACTTCCTCCTCATGGAAGCCATGAGATGTATTATAAAGTGACAATCCCGTCTGATGGAGCAATTTTGTCCTTAGAGACATAGATGATGTCTTCAAAAGACTTGCTGCCATTTCTGGAAAAGAGACATAAGCATACAACAGTGCAGATGAACAGACACTGTGGTACTAGTTTTTTGTTAATAGGCCTTTCTGTTTAATTGGGAGGACTTTCCCACATCTAAAAGCAACTTTTTGAAGAAAGATGGTCAGTATGGAATTCCTTTCCTTTCCCCCCTTTCTCAAACCACATAATTCACAAAGTATATTATTTCAGTACATCAGAGATATGATGACACAGTTACAGTGCATTTATTAGGTCCTAATACACTAGGAAAGTTTAGAAGAATGTTGCTGTTCCGTATTTAGCATCATCTCCTGACTCCAGGTAGGTTTTCTCATGACAGTTGTTCTTTTTCCAACTCTAACTTTCCCAAAATTTAAAAAGAAATTCAATCCAAATGCCCACTTAGAAACGGTCTTAATGCAAAAATGTTTTAAGAACAATCCTGTTCTCTAACAGAAATTTTATTCTTAGCGTTATCCTCACTTTATGTAATGTTTTCATAGAAAAAGCTGGAAGGGGTCCTGAGGAAAATGGGGAAAGAAATAGGGATGTATGTGTCTGTGTTTTCTTTATTCCCCAGGGTTCTGTCACTCTTCTCTTCTCTTGGGTAATCCCAACTCAGCCCACAGGCTTTTCTTATGTAAGCATTGTTGTTGACATAAAACATACTAGTATATCCAGAAAAGTACACAGCTTCATGAGCTACATTTAAGTAAAGAACAGCACTGAACACATGTAAGCCAATAATCGCACTCAGTAGATAACATGAATCTCAGGTTTGCTATGCCACCTTTCAGTCACCACTCCAAATAAGAATAACAATTATCTTGACTTCTAATATCCAAGATTGTTGGCCTGCTTTGAACTTTATATAAATTAAATAATATGGTATACTCTTTTGTGTCTGATTTCCACTATGTTTGCAACATCCATTATTGCTATTATGTGTACTTAGAGCAGGGGTGGGCAAACTTTTTGACTCGAGGGCCACAATGGGTTCTTAAACTGGACCGGAGGGCCGGAACAAAAGCATGGATGGAGTGTTTGTGTGAATATAAATTCAAAGTAAACATCATTACATAAAAGGGTATGGCCTTTTTTTTTTTTTTAGTTTTATTCATTTCAAATGGGCCGGATCCGGCCCGCGGGCCGTAGTTTGCCCACGCTGACTTAGAGTCAAAAGTCCTCTCTCTCTCTCTCTTTCTCTCTCTCTCTCTCTCTCTCTCTCTCTCTCTCTCTCTCTCTCTCCATGTCCAAGCTTGCTTTTACCTGGAGTATGCTTTATGCATGTTTTGCCCCTGGGGATATGTCAGATATACAAAAGACAACTCATCAGAAAACTAAACTGGAGCAGAGGTCTTGATCTTTTCCACAATACTTCAGTATAAAAGAAATGTGCCAAAGAAACCTGATAAGAACTTGGGTGGCTATTTTTAGAAAATAAATTTGCCTATATTCTGTTCGGGGAAAAGAACAAAGAATTAAATAAGAAAATAATGAAGTATGATTCATAAAATCATTAGCATTTTAAATTATTATTGTGGTATAATGGAATTAATAAATAGTATATCTTCTCTCACAAATTATGTCACCAAAGTAAGGATAAGAGTCATGTAATTACCCTCTTTCCAATCCAATAATACAAAGACAACTGGTACAGATGCCATCAGATCTATTTCTCTTTATCCTTAAATCATTACAATTTAAAAGATTTATGTAACTGCCCTAACCAGTTTGGCTCAGTGGATGGAGTGTCGGCCTGCGGACTCAAGGGCCCCGGGTTCGATTCTGGTCAGGGGCGTGTACCTGGGTTGCGGGCACATCCCCAGTGGGAGGTGTGCAGGAGGCAGCTGATCGATGTTTCTCTCTCATCGATGTTTCTAGCTCTCTATCCCTCTCCCTTCCTCTCTGTGAAAAATGAATAAAATGTATTTTAAAAAAAAAAAAGATTTATGTAACTAATATTATACCTCATCAGACATCTTTGATATGCTGATTTTCCCAAGGAAACATAAATACTTCCTGTAGCCTTCTCTCTATTAATTCCACATGTTCTCTCTTCTCTCTCCCGCCCTCAATTCCTGCCCTCTTCCACTAACTCTCCCTTCTTTTCTCTCCTCATATTCCCTTGTCTGTGCCACAAAATAGTACCATGAAAACTCAAGAGACCTGCCTACCAGGTTTCTGACCTCTGTTTGGAAATCCAATTCTAGAAATCTGATCACAGCCAATATGTACAATTTCATCGCAATTCTAATTTCAGAGACAAAGACATCAGTGCTGAGGAGATGACAAGGTGTTAGCTACTATTAAGCTACTATGGTACCTGAAAGTACAAGTGAAGGAACGAGGGCTGAGATTCAAGTTTTGCATAAACATGAAGTTGAGCACCAGCACTGTGGGCTAGTTCTAGAATCGTAAAACAATGAACAGGTTCTAGGGCATTTACACCTCATACACTTTCTTCAGGGCAAAGTGCAAGTTTAACACTTGCCATGCAGAATGCTTTGCTTTCGGGCCTCATGCAGATTCCGTTCAGCGGAATTAAACCACACCACAGGGAAAGGGAAGGAGAAGGGAGCCCCACAGACATCTGAGATCAAAGGTGTCACTTCCTTCCTTTTTCACAGTGCTGCACAGGTGACAAGAGTTCCCCTCTCTGCACAGGGAATAAGCTAGCTGTTCTCTTAAAACCCATTTTACACATCCTGAAATTTAATAAACCAAAAAATTAACACAAATGCATACTCAACAAGAAAACAATTAGCCTAAGGTAGGTAGTAAACAAACAAAAAAATCAGAAATATTCTGTTTCAGTCAATATATGACGTGTTTTCAAGTCTGGATTTGGTTTTAGGCTGTCATTCTATATTGTACCATGCAAGTTTCATTACATGCCATACACACCCTTTTCATCACACAGCCAATTTCATCACCAGCCAAATTCAGTTTCTCAAATCCTTCCGGTTTTCTCTTCACTCCAAGCCTCTGTCAATGTGATTCTTACCTGTTACACTGTTCTCTTCCTCAGAGTAACTCCAGATCACCTCCTTGAGGAAGTCATTTGCATGTTTAGAACCGCGCTTGACAAAATGGTATCTGTCAATAAACCTTTGGCATACAAGGCTTCAGAATCCATAACGCCATAGGAGGCTTAAAAATCTGTCCACAAAAACCCTAGCCGGTTTGGCTCAGTGGACAGAGCGCCGGGCTGCGAACTGAAGGGTCCTGGACGCGATTCCCGTGAAAGGCATATTCCTCGGTTACAGGCTCGATCCCCTTGCAGGAGGCAATCAATTGCTGTGTCTCTCTCACATCGATGTTTCTCTCGTCTCTCCCCCCCTCCCCACCTTCTCTAAAAATCAATGGAAAAATATCCTCGCGTGAGGATTAACAAAAACAAAACAAAACACAAAAACAAAAAAAATCTGTCCACCAACCAACTCTCCATCTACCCTGTTTATTATTCGCACCACTCACCCTGTTGGGACTCCATTCCTCTTTGCAAGCTGGTTTCTCCTATGGGACCGATGATCACTGCCTGTGCTCCACCTGACTGTATGCACTCAGCTTTCAAGTCAGACAAGAAAAACGTCAACAAAAGGTCAGCTGCTTGGTCTGGTGACTATGTTCCTTCCTCCTCCAGCAGACGTCACAATTTATATCTTTCCCCCTAAACTTATTTCTTCCAAGAGTTACAGGTCTCCACAGATCATATCCACTGACCCCGATCCCTCCAGCACCTAGAGCATGAGCTGGTCAACGGCAGGCTCTCAGATGTGGAAGTGAGGGACGAGGGGGTGCCCATGGAGATTTCCTCTCAAAGCCCTTATCAGTCTTTTCAGCATGGAAGTCTTTTAGGTCATCTGTGGTTCTGATCCCCTACCTGGGTGACCGTGTGTGTAGCGATAAAAGGATTATTGAAGCTCAAAAACAGTCTACAACACATTCCAAACATAAGGTGAACAGCTTTTGTCGTTCTTCTGGTTGGAAAGTTGGCTGCACGCAGCACGCTATGTAGTTTCCGTGAAGCGAGATAATTTAACAGCGAAGCAGGGAGAAGGGCACTCGTCCAGGCCCTTGGGAACCTTACCTGGCCGGGACTGCACACCAGCAAACAAAGGCAGAACTCTCTGCCATCCCGACGTTCCCTTCCGCCAAATCCCGAACGCCAAGCCAACCCGGGGCCTCCCCAACCTACACAAGGCTGCCTGTGTGGCCCCAGCCAACCCGATGTTTCCTCTCTCTCACTTTTTCTTTGTTCTTTGTCCTATAAAAGCTTTGGGCCCCCCACCCACTGTGCGATCCTCGGACACACTACGCTTCGTGACCGTCTGAAAAGAGAAACATCTGTTTGCATCAGCTGGACGTTCTTTCGTTATTTATCATGACACTACTCGGCACAGGGCCTGGAAGGTATTCCTAGTTTAAATCCGTGCGTTGAAATACTGCCTCCCGATTCAGCTATTTCCCCACGTTCTCAAGCAAGTTTTTCCCTCCGGCTCTCTCACCTGGCCTAGTCCGGCGGCGGCGCTGGGCACTGCGTCCGCCCGTCCAGCAGAGGGCAGTGGACCGCGCGGCCGCTCCGCGGGTACCGCGCCGCCGGGGCCCGGCGGGGCCCGGAATGCAATTCGTGTGGATAAACGCTGAGGTCCATTACACAGTGCCTTGCCAGGGCTCGTTCCTAGCCGACACCTAAAATGCAGCCCCTGCGGCCAAACTCTTGGAAGGCTGGCGCTGACTTTCTCTCCCGCTCCCCCTCGCCCCTCTTCCGCTTTCACGTGCCCCTCTTCCGCTCCCCCTCGCCCCTCTTCCGCTTTCACGTGCCCCTCTTCCGCTCCCCCTCGCCCCTCTTCCGCTTTCAGGCGCCCCTCTTCCGCTCCCACGTGCCCCTCTTCCGCTCCCCCTCGCCCCTCTTCCGCTCCCACGTGCCCCTCTTCCGCTCTCACGCGCCCCTCTTCCGCTTTCACGTGCCCCTCTTCCGCTCCCACGTGCCCCTCTTCCGCTTTCACGCGCCCCTCTTCCGCCCTTCAGCACCCGCCCTCCGCCGCCTCAAGTCCACCTGCGCCCTTCCTGGTGTCCCCAGCGAACCGGGCCGGGGACTCCTATTGTACGCGCTTCCCGTTCTCGGTTCTGCGACAGAGGCTTAAGCTGGTGCGGGAGAGGAGCTGCCAAACCCCGTTTATTTTCGGATTCCGACGTTGACTTCGGAAACCGGCAATGAGAAAGGCTGCGGCCAGCTCGCGTGGCCAAGCGAGAAGACCCACAGTGTCCCTGATGGCAGTGCACCTGCGTCGCTGGTATCATGAGCACCCAGAAGATCTGCAGAGAATTGCCTGTGCCCCGAAGTGTGGAGGCAGAAAGCGGGGAGAGCCCTGGCTGGTTTGGCTCAGAGGGTAGAGCCCTGGCCTGCGGACTGAAGGATCCCTGGTCGGATTCCGACAAGGGCACATGCCCCGGTTGCGGGCTCCATCCCCAGTAGGGGGCGTGCAGGAGGAAGCCAATCAGTGATTCGCTCTCATCATGGATGTTTCTATCTCACCCTCTCTCTTCCTCTGTGAAATCAATAAGAATATATTTTAAAAAAAGAAAGACAGAAAGCTGGGAGAGTCCTTCACATGGGGTTGCATTAATGTCAGCACCAGCTATGGATTTCTCTCAGGGACTAGATGGCCTGCCTTTGCAGGATTATGCAAACCTTTCAGAATTTTGCCACAACATTAGGACAAGGAGGAATAACCCTTAAAATCTGGGGATAAAATTGCCCACCATCCATGCAGAACTGAGGCGCCAGAATAGAAGTGAAAATGATTGAAAGAAAAGAACATCACATTGCTTGTGTGAACAAAAAGGGGCCACATGCTAACCTAACTCAAGGAAGGCCTGCTGATGGCCTTGCAAGCTCAAGAGACCTAAAGTAACCACAAAGAGTGGTCCGAAATTAAAACCTCATTAAAAAGCAATTTATAGTGGGTAGTCCTGTCCTAGGCCAGCATCTTCCCTGACAAAGATCAACTTTGATCTTTACTTGAGCCTCTTGTCCTTTTGCATCTGAGACAACATATCTGTGGAATGTCAGGGTAACTTGTAACCTACCCTTTTCCTCCGGGACCCCTCAGACACAACGAATGGCACCAGGGCAAAGATCACAAATTCCCTCATTGTTAGTTATCTTGTTGATTGCTGACTGTTAACTATTCTGTACCCACCTATATGAAAGAAGTATGTGAAGATCATTTTACTTTTTATCCAATCCCAGAGGTTTCCCCACTTTACTTCCTCCCACCTCCCTAGTCTATCACCAATGTATTTCATGGAACCCACTGACATCTCCTTTGATTGTAATGTACAAAACAAGGTGAAAAACCGCCATTCTCCGCAACATTATCCCAGTATGTAGAGAGTTTGCTGCCCAGCAATTGTCGAGAGTTTGGCTCAAATAAACTCATATAAGTGAACTTACACGAGAGACCTTGACTGCATTGTGAAAAGCCCATTTATTAATGCAATTAAAGCATGCACCTTTATTGAAAAAGCAAAGCAAGCAAATCTGTTTTATTTCATCCAGCTTGGAGGGCAGATGGGCTTTCCCGGCAAATCCGGAAAAGCCAATGTCTGGAGCAGGTTCCAGGAGTAATATACCCTCCTGCCTATAGGTTTCAAAGATTCTTTTGCCAAATATCTGGGTACAGATTAAGTCTCAAGTTCTCTTTGTTGTGGTCTTCCCAGAATTCTGGCAACTTTATCTTGCCAAGCCCCAAGACTACTGACTTCTCCGTTAGGGAGTAAAAACTGTGATTTTTTCCTTTTCCCTTTCTCCCTCCCTTTCTGCATCCTCTCCTTAGGGAGGTCTTTAACTATTTGCTCTCAAGGTCCCTCGCTGGGAGAGATAGTGGCTCATTATTCAGCTGCAAATTGCTCGCACTGTTTGGCCTTGTTTTAATTTTCCTGTCTCCGTTTTCCCCTATTCCTCCTGCCCTGGAATCCTGTAACAAGACGAATTGAAATGAAGTGAAGATCAAAGTTTGGGAAATGTGGAACTTGAGAAATGATGAGGCCAGGCTTTCTGATGAATATATATATATATATATATATATATATATATATATATATATATATATACACATGCAGGGGATAAAAGAAGAAGATAATTATCAACCTCATGTTAAAGTTACGAAAGAAGATGATTTGGGAGGGATGTTTTGTAACAACTGGGAGATGCTGCAATAAAGATTTGGAAAGAATAACATAAAATTTTCAAAATTATGTCTCATCTTCAAAATTATTTTGATATTTGACACAGAGATATAATTTGTCTTATTTTTTGTTATCCACAACCTCAGTCTTTCTGATTCCCACAGAAGGAACTCACCCGAGAATATGCCCTTCTTTAGTGTTAGCCATTATGTTAAGATTTGCTTATCTGAATGACAACTTTTGGAACTTTATAGTCAGCTCCCATTCAATAGAATTAGACTGTCTGTCACCTAAGGAATGTAGTTGATCGTGACTACTCATCCAGTGAGCACTGTTTCCGTAAAGCATTTGTTCAAATATGAAAGCAATAGGCTTAATCTTTCATCTATGAAGGCATGCTGGGAAGCAGTCTTTAAATTTTGAACTCTACCTATCAGCAATCTAATTATTTCAGAATTACCACTTAAGCAATCAATTACTAAACGGCATTTCAATGTGACTTCAGGACAGGGTGCCCTGTCCTATGACACCGATGATCTAGCAGGGAATAAGGTTTCCATGAGGAGGTGGCGGTGACAAACATTGAACAAATAGTCACAAATGTGACTTCTGTTGAGAAAGAAGAAATGGAGATTTTTTTTTCTACAGAACTTTTTAGTTTATTCTAATTGGCAAGAAATAGGTGAACAGAGAGATTAGGATGACAAAACAAATTATTTTCCTGTCAACATCTACCTGAATTCCAAATGAACAAACATCACAGTTTTACTTAATGATTTATAAATATAACAAAAAATGTTTACTGAGCACCTAGTATGTATCCAAATGGTTCACATGCATGAACTCTAATTGGTGGTAGTACAAAGTGGGCATTGCTGTTTTCTGTGCAAATGAGTTCAAGGCCTCACTCCCCCACCTCCAACCAGCTTTCCACCCCTGAGTCTCTACCATATAAAAATCCTATGGCAAACTCAAGGCAGGTACTATGAACTTCATTTTATAGATGAGGAAACAAGTTAATTGAATAAATTACCAAAGCCTCACAGCTTATAAATACAAAATATATCATCTGAACCCAAATCTTGTAGGGATTTTTTTTTTCTTCTTTACAGTGCTTCAATAATGGTTACTTTTCTTCTTTGTATCTATACTGATTACTCAGCCATATTAAAAAAGAAAATCCCTTCTCCATTTGGTTTCTTATATCATATTTAGAGCTTACTCCACTTTTTTCTTTATTCGGATTTATGTCTGAGTATTCTAAGACTGCCAGCGAACATTTCTGACTGTGTGGCTATATAGCCTTGCTCCGTGGTCGGCAAACTGCGGCTCGCGAGCCACATGCGGCTCTTTGGCCCCTTGAGTGTGGCTCTTCCTAAGCCTTAGGAGTACTCTAATTAAGTTAATAACAATGTACCTACCTATATAGTTTAAGTTTAAAAAATTTGGCTCTCAAAAGAAATTTCAGTCATTGTACTGTTGATATTTGGCTCTGTTGACTAATGAGTTTGCCGACCACTGGCTGATGCAGAGAAGGGAGGAGAGGGTTCAGAGCTGATATTCCCACTACTAGGTTAGATAGTCCTAATTCTTGTTTTATATTCCTGTGCAGGTCCTGGGCCAATTTGTCCTCAAACACTGTCTTGGTCTGCTCTGTTTTGAAAAAGGATGAATCCCCATGCCATTTGGTTTATTGACACTGACAATGACTGGAGAGAAACCGAAGAGTGGGAGGAAGATGCAAGCCCTGGCTTCTGTCCCTCTCCTTGCCGTAACTGGTGCCGTAATTGGTGTCGTAATTGGCAGCAGTTTTCTGATGTGGCTCCAGCTTCTGCCAGATGACCCTGACCCTTGTGCTCTGATAATGTTACTT